GGGTAGTGACTTCTGGGGACCAAACTGAGAGGGTAAGTTAAAAGGCTAATGCCAGAGAAAGTGCTACACTGTGTGAGTTTACCATTACTGGAGGTCTTCAAATGGAGGTTCTATGAATACTTGGAGATGTTATTGAAGTGACTCTGTGGTTGAAATAAAAGTGATCCCTGATGTCCCTGATACATCTGAGAATCTCTGATCATATGTAGAAGGTAAGGAGCAGTACCAGGTGTGGTACTTGAGTTCAAATCCAACCTCAGACACTTACTAGTTATGTGATCTTAAACAAGTCTCTTAACCTTGTTTGCCTCAGTTTCTTCATCTGTAAAATGAGCTGGAGAAGGAAATGGTGAACCACTCCCGTATCTTTACCAAGAAAACCTCAAATGGAGTTATGAAGAGTCAGATACGCCTGAAATGACTGAATAAACAAGAAGAAGGTAAGACAAGAGTAAGACTGGAAGGATGATAAGGATTTGGACAATTGAGATGGATGAAGGAGGCAGGGTATGAAGAAATGCATGGAGGTTTGAATGAGTTTGAAGTAATCATGGAATTATTGGAATTCCGTAGAATTCTAGAAGGGACCTCAGAGACCATATAATTTAATTTCCTCATTTACAGATAAGGAAACTAAGGTCCAGAGAGGTATGTGATTTGCCTTTTATTAGTGGGCCAATGCTTCCTTTATTGCATCAGACCACAATTAAGTAGAATCACAGTGTGTATTGAGTTATTAATTGGAATTATTGGCTTTTGGTGTTCCTCCTTTTACTCTTCCCTGACCATTTGAAAATATTCACACTGTCTTCACCTGGGAGAAGGTTTACAGCTATGGCTAGAATGAGAATGACTGCTTTTCCAGATTAATGTCTGAAAAGTGGGGATCCCTAGACTTCAGTTTACTTTCTGTTTTGAGATTTGGACGGGCCAGACATGGCCGCAAACTACAATGTAAACCTTGGTTCTTGAGCCCCAGGGTGTGAGTCCAAGAAAGAACTGAAGTCCATCAGAATTTGGGTAGTCTTTTGGACGAAGCATGGGACTGTAAATTTATAGGATCATAGTCTCAGAGCTGGACGTGACTTTAGAGATTATCTAATCCGACTCCTTCCTTCCTTCCTTCCTTCCTTCCTTCCTTCCTTCATTCTTTTCTTCCTTCATCTCTTCTTTACTTTTTTCCTTCCTTCTTTCCTTTATCCTTCCTTTCTTCTTTTCTTACTTTCTTTTCTTCTTTCCTTCCTTCCCTCCTTTTTTCCTTCCTTTCTTATTTTTCTTCCTTTCTTCTTTCTTTCCTTCTCAAAACATTTAGTTGCCAACTATTCACCAAATGTTACCAAAAGGTTCTAGGGATATAAATAATCAAAACAGTCCATGCTTTCAAACACCTTACATTATATTGGGGGGGGGGATAGAAATCTACATGTGATCAGATAAGAAACCACATACAAAGTCATTTGTGAGAGGGCACTAGATACTGGGCAAGGAAATCTCTTACTGGGTGAGTTGTCCTGATGTAAGGCACCACTGCTAACTGGAGAGGGTATGGGGGAGGGAAGAGAAGAGGCAGCTTGGCCAGGTAGAAAGAGTACAAAACTTGGAGTCAGAAAGAGCTGGGTTCTAATCCTACCCTGGACATTTATTAGCTGTGTAACTCTGAGAAAGTCATTTAACATCTCCCGGTCTCCATTTGCATTCAGTAGCATTTGCACTTAATTTTGAAGCAAGCTAGGGATTCTTGTGGGCAGAGTTGAGGAGGGAGTATAATATAGGCAAGAGGGAGAGACCATGCCAAGGAACAGAGAAGGTGCAAATGAGGAAACAGATCTAGGAAGGTTGGTGAATTGCCCATGTTCAGTCACATAGGTAGAAAATATCAGAGCCAAAATTTGAACCCATGATTGCTTTATTCCTAAACCAAATCCTTTTTTCACTGTACCTCCCTATTATCATTTTTGCCTATAGTTTGCCATATCCTTTTGGAGTCATCAATCAACTTTTCCATTTCTTTGTTTCTCTCTTTTAAGAATCAATCAATCAACGAGCATTAATTGAGCACTCCCTAACATACTAGGCACCATGCTAGGAACTGAATGGAAGGGATGACTGGGAATGGGATATTTGCCTACCTGAGAGGCCAAAGGAGAATATCATGGAAGGCATTTTCAGCTCTTTTTTTTTTTAATAAAAGGGGGGAAAAGCTAAAAGCATTTCCCAAAAGCATTAACTGGAAACCCTGAAGAGGGTACACACAGGTGAGTACTTTTCACAGTGATGTCCTATCAGCTAATTCTCCCTTGGCAGTTTCAGTGTATCCAGAGTAATGGAGGGGAAAGGGCACCACATGTTTCAAACACGTACAATATACATGGCCCCCTTGGGAATGAGTGAACCACCACTATTCAATGACCACTTCCTTTCCAAGAGGAGAAGCAGGTGAAAGGTGACTACAAATCTCCTGCCACTGGTGGTTTTGGGGGGTCAAGGAAATGTCTGGAGCAAAACCTGTGTTTTCTACACAGTGCAAATCTTGGCCTGAATTTCTCTTCCTCCTTTACTGTAAGGTAAAGGGCAAGGCTTTCAACTGGAGGAGCCAAACATCAAAGAGTGTGATAGTTTTCAAAGACTGTCAACCCAAGCAATGGACTCTTGCCAAGAAGGATACCATGCTGCCTCACAGGTCCCAAGAAGGAACCTTGGAGAACAGTTAGTCAAACACCCTCCTTTCAATGAGCAGGACACTGCAGTTAGAAGAGGTGACATGATGAGCCTGTTCACACAGGCAACGAGGAAGAGAGCCCAAGAGTCAATCCCAGGTCACCCGACCCCAAGTACAGGGTATTTTCAAGGAGTGAACAGCTAGCAGTATTGTGGAGTGGATCCCCAGTCAGGAAGATCGATGTTCAAGTACTTTCCCTCTAACCCCTAGATACCCACCAGCTTTATGGTCCTTAGCAAATCACTCAACCCTGTATGCTTTAGTTTCATCTTGTGTAAAATGAGGGGGTTGGGCTTCATGGCTCCTAGGGTCCCATCCACTTCTGAGTCTATTATTTTACAAGTGGCTGATCAAGAGTTATAAAGGTATAAAGCCACCACTAAGGAAATCAAAACCCCGGCACATCCATTGGCAAGGTTCGGCTACCAGTTGATTTTGATAAACATTAACCATTGGACAGTAGAGGCTGGAGAGAGTGTGGATAGTAGAGGTCATGACCCTTAATAAGAGGACTCCATTCATGCTGCTTCTCTGCCCTCTGCACTTCAGGTTAATGTGTCTTCATTGTACAGGGAAAACTCTGTTCCTACCAGATTGAGGATTTTGCTCTTTATATCATGACCCCTGTATAACTCCCCTGCCCATGGAACACGTGCCAGCCTTCATAGGCATCAGTGGCATTCTTTCATCAGTTCGTGTCAGGTCCAGGAGTATTAGGGAGTGTGAGGCAACTGTGCTTTTTGAATCAAGAAAAAACCATTGTTGCAGGCATGATTTAGGAAACTCTACTTGGAAGCTTCGGAATTTCTTAATCCCCAAAAGACAGTCAATGATCGTGTCAGTCCATCTTACAGGAGGGATATAGGAAGCCCCTCTTTAAGCAACTTCACCAAGTGGTTTTTCAGATTTTCCCAGAATCACAAAGTGGAAGATGTCCTCATTAGCACTATCAGGGACTTAACCCAAATGAGCAGCAGGCAGAAAAGCCAGAAAGAAACTCTAACCCTAATGGAACCCCAGCAACGACATTGACACCTGCCTCTGGCACTCCCTGCCTTCATGTGATCTTGGACAGGTCACTTAATGTCTCAGTGCCCCGGATTCTAAGTTGTACAGCGTTGCTGATCTATAGCGATAAAGGGGCATTTCCTCAGCAAGAACTCCCTATACTGTTGAAATCATAGGTCTGAAGAAAAACAATCACAAACCACACTGGAGCTTGTTTTGTTTAAACAGACAGATGGACAAGAGGACTGATGGACAGACTGGCAGACACGTACCCACATCCAATTAGATGCAGAACTAAATTCAGGTTGGCGGGTTTGTTCCTAAAAATTGTTCAATTAGAACCAAAACTGGAACATTAAAATATTCTCTTAAACAAAACTGATATTTTTCTATTTTGAAGTCTACAACAAGGCACCTATTAGAACATTATTCTTTCTTTTTCTTAGAAATGTCATTAAGGACAAGCAATATAGACAAATTCCATTCAACAAGCATTTATTAATCACCGACTGTGTGCCAGACATTGTGCCAGGGCCTAAGGATACAGAGCATTTAGCACAGTGCCTGGCATATAGTAGGTACTTAATAAATGCTTGTTGTCTTGACTTGTTGACTTTCTCCTAGGGCAGGAGAAAGGGAGAAAATTTGGAACTCAAAATTTTAAAAAACAAGTGTTAAAAATCATTTTTACATGTAATTGGGAAAAAAATAAAACTTTTTTTAAAAAAGAAAAAAATAAATAGTCCCTGCTCTCACACAAGTGCCATCCCATAGGAAGAAAATAGATATTCCTGGATGAGTAAGTACAAAAATCATATAAAATAAACACGAAGTAAAAGGGTGGGAATGGGAAAGAACCCTAAAAACTGGGAAGATAGGGAAATTGTTGAAAAGAGTCAGGAAAAAATGGCAGGTTAGATGATGATTCAATTCAACAAGCAAACATTTATTAATGTTCAACAAATGATAATATCAATGTTAACATTGATCAAATTTATTAAATATTAATATGTGCAAGGCAAAAGGCATCATAGGGTGGCATATAGAAGACCAGACTTGGGGTCAGGAAGAACTGGGTTGAAATCCCACCTCTGACACACACTAGGCATGATAATGGGCAAGTCACAAGGTCTCAGCTGCTCTAGGGAACTAACTCTCTAAGGCTGTACATTACTAGAAGTGGGAGCTCTGATGACTGATGACATCATGGATAGCCCCTTCCCCTGTTCTCCACATACACAAAGCACAGTGCTAGGCACCGAGAAGTCCTTACCACTTTTGCTTGAGGAGCGGCGAGAAGTCCTGGAGAAGCTTCCGTCTGGAATCTGTTTTCGATAATTCATTGAGCTGGTGGAGTTTGGGGGGAGGAAATTTGCCGTTTAATCACTTAACATAATAATTGATAAATCACTAGATTTCACAACCTTGACAAAAGGAAAATTGAATAGCGGGTAGAAAGTTGACCTTTGCTTCCTTCCATCTATGCTTTCATAACCCCGTCTGAAAAAAAAAAAAAGAGTGGGCATGTGAATACTATTCTCTGAATGAACGATCAACCAGGCTCTGTGTTTTATCCCTGGCAAATCTCTCTTTTCCCCTTCTTGTTGACATCATTACCTATTCTGATTATGCTCTCTCCTGACACTGTTGCCAACTCCTTTGTTTTTAATCTCCCCTACAATGGTGAAAGCTGGAGCTGGAACTGGAATGAGAGGTATTTGAAACTAGAAAAACTTAATCATCCTCCCCCCACCCCGATGCACCTCCAGGAAATGTATAGGCTAGAAAGACAAATTAAGAGAGAAGTTGAAAGGAGGGGGCAGGGCAGCTGCTCTGCAAAATGGTTTTATGTAGGAGTCAATGTTGGGAAGCAGAGGGGTACGGTGGAAAGAGCATTGAATATTAAGTAAGAAGACTCATGTTCAAATCTCCCCTCTGACATTTCAGACCTGTATGATGTGATTAAGTCACAACATCCACAGGCCTCAGTTTCTGCATCTGTAAAATGATAAAGGTAAGTTAGACCAGACAGGTTCTGAGGTCTGTTTCAGCTCTACATATAAGATGACATGACCCCAGCTTGGAACTTTGAGAAGGGAGAAATTAGAGGGAGGTGAAGGAGAGGGAAGAGGCCATAGGAAAAACTGGTGAATTTTGTAGGTCTTCACTATGTGGCTTCATCATTTTGGTTAAAGTTTTGTAGATGTTCAAATAACAAAGTGAAATGTTTGTTCTTTTCTATTATCTTTATACACCTTCCTTCTATTGACAGAGTGGCTGGAACACAGGTACTCAGAGCCAGTCAGACCTACATTCAGTTCCTGGCTGAGACAATTATTAGTTGTGAAACCCTAAGGAACCCCCTTAATCTCTGTCAACCTCCATTTCTCCATCTGTGAAACAGGGACTATAGCACCCACCTCACAGGCGTTATTGTGGAGATAGAATGAAATAAGGCCCTTTGCAAATAGTGGAATGCTATATAAATGTTAGCTTTTATTAATATTAAAATTATTATAACTGAGAGTTGATTCTAGGTAGAAGGGTACCTGGCTGTGTATCGATCGTTGCTATTACAAAATGTTGAGGCTAGGACCAGACTCGGTAGGTCTTTGGAGGATGCTCCAATCCAGCTGAGCAGCACTAGCTGTACTCATCATTCAGAAGACCCTGGAGTCTAACGGTACAGTGACTGAAGCTGCCTGATTGAAAGGAACAAGTGGAAAGACAAATAATTATGGCATTTGGAGGAGGAGGCCTGCCAAGAACATCTCTCCCTCCATCAGCTGCTGTCTGCTGTTAGGTAACATAGGATCAAAGTGTCAAAGCTGAAAGGTATCTAAAAGGTCTTCTAGCCCAACCCTCTCATTTTCCAGATGAGGAATTTGAGGTACAAAGACTTGTCTAAGGTCATACTGCTAGTAAGTGGCAGTGCTGAGATCCAAACCTAAGTTTTCCGAATCAAGTTGCCCACTATCCCATGCTGCCACTCTAGTTTCACTACCCAAAAGCCTTCGGAGGATTAGTACAATACTGAGACTTATTTTTAATTGGCCTTAGAGGTGCATTTTGACAAAATGATTAGAGAAGCCTTTACATGTAGCAAGTACAAGCAACTGTAGGCCAAGGATTATTGACCTCTCTTCCAGTTGTAGTGAGGGATTAAATCACCAAGCCTGCCTTAGGAGCAGCCGTTAGACTCTCTGCCTGCCTGCCTCCTTTCTGCAACAATCAGAAGAGACTTCCTGGAGTCATTCGGGTAACTTGGCCAGATAGGTTTGGAGGAAGGTGAGAGACCTAAAGACAAATGGACTGAGAGAGTGTGCCTCTTAAATCCCAAAAGTCTCAGGGGCAGAGACTGATGCAAACCACAATTCAGTGTATGTGTGCTGAGGTAGGAAGACATAAAATGGGTAGTCTTGAGTCAGTCTGCAGTGAGAAACAGAGATTCCTTTGGTCAGAGTTAAAAAGGACACTAGTTCAATTGAATCAAGAAGGAGGATCCCCAAGCTACTGGAAAGAGGTGAAGATATGAGAACAACAGAAAATTTAAATAGACTGGAAGTATTTAATGATCCAGTGGTGAGAAAGATCTATGGCCCTAAAAATAGATGAGTACTATAAATAAAATAAACATTTAAACACAAAGTGAGTTTGAGACCACCGTTCTGAAACGTCAGTTCTGTGCTCTGTCCACAGATAATTTCAAGTTAAAATTCTATTATCACTAACCTGCCAAGTACTCATTACTTAATTTTGTTCTTTCTTGTTTACTGATATCGTTCTCACTCAACCATTCACCATGATACTCATCCTCTTATTATACACACACACACACACACACACACACACATACAACATACAGATGTATACTCCCACTATAACCATTGTGTTTGGTCGTTTTCAGTTGTATCTGACTATTTGTGACCCCATTTGAGGTTTTCTTGGCAAAGATACTGGAGTGGTTTGTCATTTCCTTCTCCAGCTCATTTTTACAGATGAGGAAACTGAGGCAAATGGTGTTAAGACTTGCCCAGGGCCACACAACTGGTAAGTGTCTGAGGCCAGATTTGAACTCAAGTCTTCCTGACTTCAGGCCTGGTGCTCTATCCACTGCATCACTTAGCTGCCCAAAATTATAACCATATTTACATTTGTAACATATTTACACATATACATTCATTATATACATATACATGTACATTTAAGCATATGTGAATACATTATACACATATATGTATACATTTTATGCAGGTATACATACATAATAAGGGAATTGATTATAGAATCATAGATATAGAACTGGAAGGTACCCTAAAGGTCCTCAGGTCAAGAAATATCAACCAAGAAGTACCAGGGAACCTACAGCCCAACTCACAACACTTTCTAGTTTGGCAGGAACAAGGTTAGAATGTAATTCAGTAATATTTAACAAAACAAGTAAAATATAATAAAACATAGATGATGTTGCATTTAAAACTATGTCAACATGTAGCCCATAGGAATTAGCAGCTCCCACTGGATTTGAATTTGATAACGCTGATCTAGTCCGCAGGTTGGTAAACCATAACCCAAGGGCTAAATCCATCCCCTGCCTGTTTTTGTATCACTAGTGACCTAAGAATGATTTTTTTACATTTTGTAAATGGACTGGCCTAACCCTCTCATTGATTCATTGTAGAGAAGTGAGTTGCCCAAGATCATAGAAGTAGTAAGCAAGGGAACAGGGGATTTGAACCCAGAGCGTCTGACAAAGAATCCAGCTCTGTTTGGATCCTCTTAGATGAGGGATTATTGGGGACACCGTCAATTCAGGAAACTTGGACTACATCCTTCACATGTCCTTAGCATCTATTCTTTGAGTAGCTGATTGCCATGTCTGAAACCTGCTGGGAAAATGCCATGAGTTGTCTAATGTCTCGATAAAAGTAATTCTATTGTGCCCTGTGGCACAGGCCTTATATAACCAGCTCCCTTTGAAAGAAGAATCCTCCTTCCCTTCCCTGGTAGCCGAGAGGGAGCCCACATAATGTTCGCTGCTGGCAGCATGTGGCAGCAGCATGGGGATGGGAGGGCGGATGGAGGGGAGAGTGGGGTGCTGCTGCTTTATTGCACAAGACGCATCTCTTCAGGGTGAAAGCAGGAGGCAGAGATCCTGCTGCACAGCAGGCTTTGTTTGTATAAAGGGGCAGAGATTGATGGGCCACACAGTTTTCTCTTTGGCTTTTTTTTTGGAAACTTTCTAGTGAAAATAATATGACAAGTACAGCAGCCTGACTTGATGGGCACAAACAGTATCAGGTGAGAGTACAAACCCTTCCCTCCTTCCCCCATGCATCCTCCCTGCCTTCCACCCTTATGCCACTCAGCACTTGCCTGAAGCTCCAGCTCTGCTGCTCATTTGGAATCATTAACTATAGGACCCGGAGTGGGGAACCTGCAGCCTGCAGGTCACATGTGGCCTTCTAGGTCCTCGGGTGGGGCCTTTTGACTGAATCTAATTTTTACAAATCCTTTTATTAAGGGGATTTGTTCTGCGAAGTTTGGATTCAGTCAAAGGGCTGCACTTGAGGACCTAGAGGGCCACATGCAGCCTGGAGGCTGCAGGTTCCCCACTCCTGCTAGAGACACTCCTTAGCCCTCTATCACACAGGGAAACTGTCTAAGTCCCCTTTCAGAACTGGACAGCAAGGGACCCTGTCAGGGATTTCAGGATACATTAAAAAAGGGAGCCTAGGATAGTGGAGAAGGGACAGGACTGAAATCAGAGACCCCTGTTGGGTGTCCCAAAAATGTTAGTGCCATCGTACACTTTAGTGACATCAGAAGTATAAAGTGCTACAAACTTTCACATTCACAAATAATATTTGAAAGGTTAATTATTTATAATATTAAAATATTGATATATTATTTCTTGTTAAAATTCAACATAACCACCATCTTGCATTATACATCTCTCCAGTTGATTTTCAAATTTTGTAAAAACTTTTGTCAGCTGCTGCTTCAATTACATTTGTAATGATTTTATAATGTTAGCCTTAATATCATCCAAAAAGTGCAGTTTTGATACAGGAATAATAGTTTTGATGTGATCGTATAAGAAAAATTCTAAGAGTTAGATCAGGTGACCAAGGTGGCCAAATAGATGACCCATTCTGCCAGTCCTGGAAACTGAGAAAGTGTCACCTAGAAACTGTCCCACATATCATGCAAAATGACATGGTTTCATAGCTTGTTAAAATTATAATTTTAAAAATTATTATTCAAAATTCACAAAACTATATAAATATAAAAGAAATGTAAATAAACTTTCAAATAATGGGTTTTTATGTCTGTGGCTTATCAATTTCTGAAGTTATTAAAGCTTAAAACTGCATTCAGATTTTTAGGATGCCCTATATCCCAATTCTGTCTAACTTTGGGCAAATCAGTCCACTTCTCTGG